CGTCGCAAACAGCGATCTTCACGGCGAATTCGTAAATTTTGGACTCGTAAGCGATCATTAAATCGTTTTATGATTTCCTCAATCGCACAAAACAAAAGCGATATTCGGCCTTTTACAAACATAGAAATATTTGGTCAACCGTATTTAGCTCTCTTGGACAGTGGCGCCAACAAAAGCGTTATAGGTGGTGAGCTAGCAAAACAAATAATTTCAGCTAAGCCGTTTAATAAATTTAAATCGGTAGTGAGAACCGCTGATGGGCAATCGCAATATGTTGCAGGCACGATACACATTCCCCTGACTTATAACTCAATTAGTGACAACTTTGAATTCCTGATAGTACCTTCGATAAAGCATGAAGTTATATGCGGAATGGATTTTTGGCAAAATTTTGGCATTTCGATCAAGCAAACAGTTGCGATCAACGAAATTAACTGTGAACCGGAAGAACACTCGAATAATGTGAGATTGTCCGATTTACAAAAATCAAAATTGCAGAAAGTAATAGACTTTTTTCCATCATTCGAGAACGAGGGCTTAGGATTAACTAGGTTGTTAGAGCACAATATCGACACATCCAATGCAAAGGCAATAAAGCAACGATTCTATCCACTTTCACCAGCTAAAGAAAAACTTTTATGTGAAGAAATCGACCGCATGATTAAAATGGATGTCATCGAAGAGGCTCCTTCATCGCCTTGGTCTTCTCCAGTTATCTTGCACATCAAGCCTGGCAAGGTACGATTTTGTCTCGATGCAAGGAAATTGAATGCAGTCACGGTGAAGGACGCATACCCCATCCCTATAATGGATGGATTGCTGAGTCGACTTCCACCCGTACACTGCATATCCAAAATTGACCTCAAAGATGCCTTTTGGCAGATCTGTTTAGATCAAGAATCTCGTGCCAAAACTGCTTTTACCGTTCCGAATCGTCCGCTATATCAATTCAAGAGGATGCCTTTTGGATTGTCAAACGCTCCACAAACCATGTGCCGATTAATGGACTTGGTTATTCCCTACCAATTAAAATCGCATGTGTTAGTCTACCTCGATGACCTGCTTGTTTTGTCAAACAACTTCGAAGAACATCTTCTGCATTTATCCGAAGTAGCTACCCAATTGCGTAAGGCTGGATTAACAATAAACGTTCAGAAAAGTCAATTCTGCCTGAAAACTGTAGACTACCTTGGTTACCTGGTGGGTGAAGGTACTCTTCAAATAAATCCAAACAAAATCGCAGCCGTGAGCGAATTTCCGGTTCCGAAGACCCAAAAACAGCTCCGAAGATTTCTTGGTATGACTGGTTGGTACCAGCGGTTCATATCCAACTATTCCACAGTCATTTTCCATCTGACGGAACAACTACGTGGCAAAACACTAAGTTGGAACGATAATGCCCAAGAAGCTTTCGAAAACATCAAGGCCAAGTTATGCTCTGCTCCTTGCCTTGTTCATCCCAATTACGACAAACCATTCATTTTGCAGTGTGATGCTTCACTACATGGAGTGGGTGCAGTTCTAGCTCAATGCGACGATTCCGGTTGTGAGCGTCCCATAGCGTTCATGTCCAAAAAGCTAAACAAAGCCCAGCGTAACTATACAGTTACGGAACTCGAATGCATGGCTGTAGTGTTAGCAATTAAAAAGTTCAGAATGTACATTGACGGTCATAGCTTTAAGGTAGTAACCGATCACTCAAGTCTTCGATGGCTAATGAACCAATCGGATCTAAGCGGTAGATTGGCAAGATGGGCTATCAAGCTACAGGGTTTTTCTTTCCAAATCGAACATCGCAAAGGAACCGAAAATGTGGTGGCAGATGCTTTGTCTCGATCGTTCGAAGAGATTGACATCTCTGCAATAGACCTTGAAATTTATCCCGAAATTGACCTATCATCAAGCGCTTTTCAATCGGAAGAGTACTCCGCTCTCAGAGACAAATTCAAATCTCTGAAATCACCGGATTTCAAAGTCATAGATGAGTTCATCTATCATCGTGCAACGTTCCCCAATTCTTATGACGTTTCACCAGACGATTGCTGGAAACTTTTCGTTCCTGAGTCGTTGCGTCAAAGTGTAATTAGTTCGGCTCACGACCAACCAACATCTGCTCATTGTGGAATGGCCAAATGCCTAGAGCGTATCAGACGACGTTTCTATTGGCCAAACATGGTTATCAACGTTCGTGATTACATTCGAAATTGCGAAACATGCCAGACCACAAAATATCCTACCCATTCTTTAAAACCACCAATGGGAGCACAAGTGCAAAGTGAAAGGATATTCCAAAGACTTTATCTCGATTTTATAGGGCCATTTCCGCGCTCCAATTCCGGCAATATTGGAATATTGATTATTCTTGATCACTTTTCCAAATTCACCTTTCTAAAAGCAGTGAAAAAGTTTACGGCTAAAGTGGTCATCAATATATTGCGCGATGAAATATTTTCATGCTTTGGTGTACCCGAAACAGTCGTCAGTGATAACGGAACTCAATTTAAAAGCCGTGATTTCTCTGACTTCCTTTCGAAATATGGCGTTCGTCATATGTTTACTGGTGCCTATGCTCCACAATCCAACAGTGCTGAGAGAGTCAACCGTTCAATCAATGCTGCTTTAAGAGCATATATTCGCACCGACCAACGCGAATGGGACACATTTCTCAGTAGCATCAACTGCTCTCTTCGTAACTCGATTCACCAATCCATCGGTTTATCGCCTTATCATGTTGTTTTTGGTCAACACATGATATCCCACGGTCATGACTACAAACTGCTGCGTAAACTAAACCTTCTTGCAGAAGGCGAAGTAAGCCTGACAAAAACTGACGAATTCCAAAGGATTCGTTCTAACATCGGCAAACATTTGAATAAGGCTTACGAGGCAAACCAAAAGTCTTACAATCTTCGAACAAGACCCCGTTCTTTTGAGGTTGGCCAAGAAGTAGTCAAAAGGAATTTTGTACTTAGCAACGCAGCAAAGGATTTTAATGCGAAACTCGCTCCTGTAGGTATCAAGGCCCGAGTGAAGGCAAGAATTGGACAGTCAATTTACCTCTTAGAGGACATGAACGGAAAGGAACTGGGTAGATTTCATGCCAAGGATATCTGGTGATTGCTCTTGATTCCTTTATCAGCTTTTATTGTTAATCACAGGGACTAAAAATCAAAGCTGTGGTTGTGGGAATCGAGCCAGTGTGGCAACTCGATAAGTTTTATCGCCCACATTTTTCAAACAACCGGGCTGTTAAAGTTACGATCCTGCCAAATCGCTAATATGCGATAGGACCTAAAAAAGACCACAAAAATTCGCGAACAGGATTTTTGCAAGCCACGGTCACATTGGATCCCCTCACTTCCGTTCTCTTTCTCACAAGGCGTCCCCGAGTTCGGATTAATTTTTGTCGATCCTAAATCCGCAAGCATCGTGTCGATCCGACAGTATTTGTTAAAGCGAATCATACCCATATTAAGTAAATTTAGTGCTCTAACGTATATTGGTAAGCTTGTGTGAATAATCGATCGCCGGAGTGCTAATTTTGCCTTTTCAAAACAGCGTCAGCCGTATCGGCAGAGTCGTCCAAGCGACCGGCATTGTTTTTGCCAGCAATTGCCCACCACGTGAGGTGGCAGTCATTTGTGGCATTCATCGTTGGCATGGTCTGTGGCTTCTCAGCGGGATCAACGCCACGTGTCATCGGAGCATTCGCACGCACAGCGTGGGGCTGCGCTTCCCATTTCGGCGGCCATACACGTGCCGATTGCGGTGATCCTCGATTTGGATTTTCTTTACCGCCTCGCTAACGTGTCACCGTTCCCTCACACGGCGCGCATATTGGATCGCCGTTCCCTCACACGGTGCACATATTGGATCACCGTGCTTTTCTTCGGCGCACCTATTGGATCGCCGTGTGTCTTTTTCGTGGCCACATCGTTCTTTGCCACATCGCCGTGCATCTTTGCCACATCGCGTGCGCTCTGCCGCATCCACACCTTGGCGGGCTGGTCTCGTTCCGCTCACGCCTCACGCAAGGGATTGCGGCCATCCCTGTCGCACATAGTGCGTGTCATCTTCATCAGCGCGAACGACGGAAGTAGCATTACATATCCGTATTGAGAGCTGGTGGCTGATCCGGCCCACACTCTGCTCCAGGAGCGGATAAACATGAATGATAGTGTCTAAAATATAATTAATTTTGCATATAGGAGCTTTTGATTTAAGAATTCGTACTTATAAACCTTTTCGGTCGTAATTTAGCAATTTTTTTTTGGGAGATTTGGCAATTATAATATCGTTTTGTCCCTCAAATAACTTAAAACACATACAGCTACACATCACCAGTCATCAGGCCTGCTGACGTCGATGGAGAAAGCGTGAGTACGGCCTAGCCGCAAAACAACAAAATAAAACTGAACCCATACTTATAATTTCGCCAAGACTCCTGAAATAGTTTGCACATCTTAATTAATTAATTGATTTAAAAGAATATTAATAAGTTAATCTATTTAATGTAAAGTAAAAAAGGAAAAAGCGTTCTTTCTTATCTTAAATTTTATTTCCTTTCATTGGATCTAAAACAAACTGACTCAATAAGAGGTCTCGTAACGTAAATAACGTAAACTTAGGCTTAAGGATTAGATTTAGGAAAATGTCTTTCAATATTATCTCAGCCTGCAATTATATGACTTTGAAAATGAACTAATTTGATATCTTGTTGGGCACCTAAGGGGATGTAGAGCATTGGTTGTATAAGGGTGGAGCCTGAATGGACTTCACAGGTTGGGAGGGTTTAGATTGAGGCCAATAACATCGGAGCCTCATCTTCAATAGGTACACTTCCTTCGTCTGATTCATATTATTTACCATATCCCCAGCTAGAGTATCTCTGTCTACAATATTAGTTATGTAGCACCCTTGTTCATGTCAACACAAAACCCACGCCCATTTTCCCTGAGCCTGCCGAGCAGAAAAAGTAGACAGAGCGTGTTGAGGTGGACAACGCTCGGTGAGTGTGTTTGTTACAGGTTGATGCCAACAATTTTCAATAGTTGGGTTTTCTGTCATGCAAAAATATGTACCCGAAATATTCTGCTTAATGTATTAAAAGGTATTTCCTATTCTAATCATATTTAAAAGCCACGTTTAACTACCCATCTCAATCAACGCTCGCTCTAATAATAAATCACTTTGACCTTTGTTACTGTTCGAACCCACAGCCCGCTAATTCGAATGTCCCTCCCCTGTGTAACAACCAAAAAATTATGGGAATCCCACCTAGAGGAACCCAGCTAAAAAACTTAATTCTAGGGACTCTCTAAGGCATATGCAGGCTTTACTTCTACAACTCTAATTAGGAACACAGAAGTGTGGACTCGTCTATCTGTAGGATGTGTGTCGGTTGTGTGGGGGGAGTATATGGAATATAGCTATGGACCTTAAGACGAGATTTCGTTCAGCTTTGGGTATATAAGCTACACTGAGTTTTATTGGCTAAGCACACACAGCACGACATTAAGCAATTAAGTACACTTTTCAGCTTCCCAGTGACGTTTTAATCCCTATTTAACGTTAACCTATACTGCAGTAAAATCCATTCACTCAACCATTTCACACACTTAAATGCAGCCAACGATGAGATAAATATGTCTAAGTGATTTGTTTGTGCACTCTTTTGGGTCTATGCAAGATAGTTTAGAAGTTGTGACTTAAGATAGGCTTTCTATTGATTCCTTCGAAGAAATTATTCCTAGTTTTGGTGATATGAATTTAAACATAATGTCTTTGGATTATTGGTTTTAAGAATACTTTGAAGATAATTACGGATAAACATAAACCTAGACTTTGAAAACGGACAAAATCGGTAGAAAGCCAAAGAATCTTCGTAATACTTGTTTTAGGTTTCAAGACTGCACACATTTATACACAAAACAAAATCAATCACACCCTTCTCCCTTAACTATCTGCTGACTAAATGTTTAAACTTAGCCTAACGTTCGTTGATTCAAATTCTTTATAGTGATTTTTGTTTGGTGTTTGTACCGAAACACGCTAAAGCTTAGAGATTGATCGTGTCCAGGTCCTGGCAGGGAGCCCGAGGACTCAGGTCATCCGTGCCAACACTGCCCCTTCCACCATCTCCGGCACTGCCCCCATCACCAGTGATGTCCGCCATGGACGAGTGGTTCTGGTTCTGATTGTGTCGCAGATTCGTGTTGTTGTTGTTAGCCATGTGCTGGCCGGATACGTTGTTGGTCTTCGAGGCTGGGCCATCGGCCGAGTTCAGGTTGTTGTGTAGCGCCTGCGTCTTCTTTGTGCCCAGGCCCAATGGGAAAGCAAAGTCCTGCGGCAGCTTGTGCATGATCTTGCCCGAGGTGATCAGCCTGCCAAAGCCCTCCTAAAAATAACAAAAATAAAGAATTAGAATCAGTGGGAAATAAGCTTAAAGGTATTCCCACCTGATGGGCAAAAGCGTAGCCCGAACGCACAGAGCGACGTCCGCGACGAGATGAAGCCGTACGCCGGACACTGCTAGAAGCCCTTGAATGAATTTTCTTCAATGATTTTTGACGAATCTGTGAAAACAAACATTTATTTAGCAACGAAAAGGAATAAAGTTTAAATGGACTTTACCTTGTCCGATAGACTAGGATGCACATCCAGCAAATAGAACTTGTAGGCCAAGACAGGGGCTACTAAAACCATCACTGTGATCAGCATGGTAGCCCAGAAACTCAGATCCTTCATGGCCTGAGTTAAGGACCCTACATAGGGTCCTCCAATGACGTAGTTGTAGAAATAGTCCAGCACGAAATACCAAATCAAACTGCCCCAAATGGTCACATGGTTGACAACGGTCCAGTATGAGGTGTAAAGAGATATCTAAATGTGATTCATTCTATGAGTTAAGAGAGATTCAATCGCTTAAGATGCTTCTCAGACCTGTGCTGTGTTGTCCACTATGAGGATGGTGGCCACCACGGCCCCCAGGGTCATGTGATCACTCAGTACATAGCCATCATGCGAGACGCCGTCCCTGTAGACCCCGTAGGGTATAAGGAACAGGATGAGCGAGGTAAAGGCGCCGTGCAGTACGCTGTAGATGAACTCCCGTATATTGAACAGCTCACTCTTCAGCCCCGGCGTATAGAGGCGTGGGAACTCCACGCTATTCTTGTCCGACACATCCTGCTCGAAGACGCCCAGCGCCAGGACCGGCAGTGATGTGTAAAACAGATTGTACACCGATATGAACATGGGATCGAACACCGTCTGCAATTAAAGGAGAAATTAGTTGTGGCAAAGATTACTTGCAGCTTTTTACCAAACTCACCTGAGCACTAAAGCCGCAGAAGAGCGAATACCAGCAATGGCACAGGGTAAATGCAAAGTTCTTGTAGAAAAAGTAGCGTAGAAACTTGCACATTCTATAGTAGGACCAGCGACCATGGACCAGCAGCAATCGCTCGAGGTAGCGGAACTGGGCAATGGCATAGTCACTGGACAGGACAGCCTGCAGGCCCTCCTGGCCGGAAATGCCAACACCAATATGGGCAGCTGTCAAAACAAAGAGAAAGTTGATGAATTTCATTCGTAAAGGATACCGATTTAGTCTCCTCTCTCACCCTTAATCATAGAAACATCATTGGCGCCATCGCCAATGGCCAGAGTGACGGCGTTTTTGGCACGCTTAATTAGCTCGACGACCAGCGCCTTTTGCAGTGGCGTTACCCGGCAGCATATCACCGCCTTGCACTGGGAGGCGATGTCCAGAAACCTGATAAACTCCCTTAATGATTGTCATTCTTAATAAACATACACAAGAACTCACTTGGTCTCCAACTCTGGGGACAGGCAGTGCACCAAAGAGTGACCGTTGACCACCAGGGCAAAGCCGGTGTTCTCGTCCACTACAATAGAGGCGGCTCCTCCGTCCTCGCTTTTCTTCTCATCGCCAAACAAATTATTGCATTCAGCACTGTTTTGGAGATACAAAAACCCATATTAATACCGGACTATTGGGTGTCTTTTCAACATTAACAAATGGGAATGGTATCAAGCAGAGTGGAGTGTGAGGAGTGGTAGAGCTTAATGAGTTATATGTACAAAGATTTAGGCAGGCGACAACGAACAAGAAAAGCTATTTGTTAATGAACAATACTTGGACAGTGACTGTTTTGTTTTTGTGAAACTGGGTTTTTGTTTAAAGTTGGTAACTGCATTTTCCATTTTTGTACAAGGCATGAAGAGGCACACAGACAGAACTCAAACAGATGCTTGGTGTTGTTGTTTTGGTTGGACGAAAATATAATTGTATATAGTTTACTTGACGGGCGGAACAAGCACCAATAGAGGGTTATATCCTTTGGTGGGTAGTACTAAAAGGGTCCCTTCTAACTACAATCACTCTGCTAGTTTGTAGATCAACGTAACCAAAATAATAAAACTTTCTTTAAAATAAACATAAAACGATCCCATAGTCGTAAAAAAAAAATATTATTTAAGCCAAGTTGAGTTTAGGTCACTTAGATACCATAAAATAAACACAAAATAAAAAAAACTAATAAAATAATTGCGCATTTTAGATACAACAGAGAATAGAGATAAGTTTACGACAGTTAGCTGAAGTAGAATTTGCTATAGAAAAAGACTTTCTAGCTCGTCTACTCGGGTTAATTTTCACTTTTAGCTAGAAATATATGCTTGGAAATTCGTTCAATTTGTATAGCTAAAACTATTGAGTTTTTAAGGATTGCCCTCTACCTGTCCGGTCCGCCCTTATTATCCTTAATTTTGTCATCCCACCTAAACGTAACCACCGAAATGGCAGGCGGTGGAGGCGGCGTGGGCGGCAGGTTCGACTCCTGCATGAAGGCCGAAGTTTGCGTCATGGTCACGCTCAGCGGATCCATGCTCATGTCGCTATTCATACGGTCAAAGCCCTCGATTCCTGCAAGGTTAAAATAATAACACAGTTCAATTTGCAATAGTCCATTGCTTGTTATTAAACTTTGGTGTTAAGCTAAGGTTTCAAAATATTGTCTCACTCACCGCCTGGTCGAAATCGATTGTATATTTTTATGGACTCCTTGAACTGTCTCAGCTGCTTTTCCACCTCCTCCACGGAGTTGCCATCCACTATGAAGACATCTGCCAGCTCATCAGTGAGCAGTTGGCAGGAATAGCCAATGTTTATGGCCGTTTCTGGGGATACAACATTTTAATAAATACTTTTTTAATTTATTTTGTGAAGGTTTCTCTTTCAAAACTCACCCTGCTTGTCACCAGTCAGGACCCAAATCTTAATGCCTGCATTCTGTAGATTCGCTATGGACTTGGGCACGCCATCCTGAAGCTTGTCCTCGATGGCAGTTACGCCCACCAGTTGCATATCGCTCTCGATCTCCTCATACATGGCGTTCAGTTTCTGCTCCCGCGAGTCCATGGAGAGAGCGGCCTCCTGATGCCGACTCCGCCAGTCGTTGTAGTATTGCTCGGTCAGGCGACGTTCGGCCAGGACTAAAGTGCGCAGGCCCTCGCCAGCAAATTTCTGTGCAGAGAAAACACCATTAAACAATTGACGCCTGGCGACTCTAGAGAATACCCACATTGAGGTGATCCTGGGTACGAGCCTTCAGGTCTTCCTGTCCGCCATGCAGGCGATCATATATCACATTATCTGCTCCTTTGCAGTAGAGCACCACGGAGTCACCGCGCCGGAGGATCACAGACATCCGCTTGCGGACGTTGTTGAAGTCAAGGATGTTCAGGAGTTCGTAATCCTGCAAAGTACATACGAATATATATACTAATAACTTCATCCAACTCGCATCACTCACCTCCATCCGACCCATCACCTCGATGGTAATACTATTCGGTGTTCGTGTGCGAAAGACAAAGCCAAAGTTTCGGGCCGCCGAGACGAGGGCAGCCTCGTCTGGGCTCTGGGCCTGGTACTCCAGCCGACCGTCCACCGTCTCGGCCATGACCGTGTGGCACAGGGCAAGCAGGCGGAAAAACACGTGGGAGTGCTCCTCGTCGGAACGGACTGCGTCCAGCAGCGTGCGATCATACCATCGGAAGTCGCTCTCATGGTGCGGATTGGCCGAAAAATCGACGCTTTGAATGGCCTGCGGAATAGGGTTTGGATTAAGCAGTTGTGCCAAGGATATCGCAAAGGAACTGGTTTTGTATGTATATATTTAGTATATATTCTGTACGTTAAGCAGAGCTCGGTTGTATACGATATTAAGCAGCAGCATTGTTAGATGTTATAAATTAGACCCAAAGTGTAAGAAACTATGGATTAGTAATATGTTTTTGGTGTTTTAGTGTTTTGTTAAGAAAACTGTTAGCGATATTAAAGCTTACGGAAAATTTTCTGTATTTAATAATCACTGAATTACTATATCATACTATGTGCAAGCTTTATTAATATTATTTTTTATACATCTTAAATACTTGGTCGCATTTGTTTACTTTATATTCTGGGCAAAATTGATGTATTTACAACTCGCTTTTAAAAATAATACGAATATTTGTGTAAGAATTGTGATTTTCTAAGTAAAACAACTACCGTTTTCATCTATTGCAATTAAACTGAGGACATTAAGTTTAAAATAACACAATATGAAGGTAATAATGATTTTGATTATATACTGTACAAAAAGCTGAACGTATGAGTAATTTCTATTAAATGAAATGAGAATGATGATAGCCAAAGGCGATTTCACATGGATCCTGGTCGAATCATCTTCCGTACACACACACTCTAAGTATATGCATATTAACCACAACGACACACTACAATTTGTGTAAGGGCGTGAATAGGACATGCAGAACATGCATACGTGCACTCTCTGAGGCGACGAACTCCAATTGGTGGCGAATGTGGTGGCATTGTGGTGGTGGTGCTGGGTGCTCGAGTCGTTTGGGTGCAGTGTGGACGATGGCTCCCCCTCGTGTTGATGGTGCTCAAGCTGACCGAAGGGGACACTCAGCGTGACTGTTGATGGGGATTTTCTGAACCGGATCTTCATCAGCCGCTTGCGATGGTGCTGTGGTTGGTTGTGCGTGGTGTTTGGTTCTGTCTGTTCGGAGTCATGCAAGATCTTTACTTTGTCGCAGCTGCTTGTGCGGGACAATTGGCGCTGCATCTGACCGCTCCGCTTGAAGCAGCCACCCAATCCCCCGCTGCTGCTGCTTCTCCGGCTCTCGCTTCCGTTGGGTGGACTTAGGCTTTCGCCAGAGCCTCCGGCTGTACCTGCCGAAAGCCTGGGCGACAGCCCTCCCGGGTCATCCTCCTGGCTTCTACTGGGCGCCGAGTATCGCACATGCTTGCGTCCCTGACGCCGCTCGGAAGGGTCCAGCGTAGGAGACGCGATGGGATTGCTGGCCACTTGCGTGTCCCCGTCGGAGGTAACCACCACGGAACTCTTCTTGGCATGGACCTCGGCCTTGTGCACTAGGATGATGGGGGGTGGGGCTGCAGGTGGCGCTGCCGCAGCTCCACCTGCCGCTCTGGGAACGTTGTTGCTGGTGTTGTTGCTATTTTGGAAAATTGTTTGCTGCTATAACGAGTAATGTGAGTTGTTGTTTTTCTTTTTGTTCGGTTTGCACATTGCTAGACGCACAATTAGGCAGAAACACACACACATACACACACAATGGGAGTGGGGAGAAGGGCCAAAGAGAGATCAAAGTAAAAGTTTGGCTTGTTTGGCCAGAGGCTCAGTCTGGATCAATCTTCCCTGGGCAGTCAGTGCAAGATACGGACACCGAGACGACACACAACACGATACGCCCTCAACCAAGTTAGAGGTTAATTCACTTAGGAGACCCGAAACCCTTACACATCCGTGAACTCACCTCGGTTATCTCGATGAGCTCGCCGGTCCGGAGGTCAATCACATCGCCGTAGGTGCGACCGTTGATGCTGCACTTGTTAAACGTCATGATGTTTTGGGTGAGGGTGCCCGTCTTGTCCGAGAAGATGTACTGGATTTGGCCCAGCTCCTCGTTGAGCGTGGTGGTGCGGGCTTTGGCATAGGTATTGGTGGTGGCATAGTACATCTCCTCATCCCAGTTGATGAGGAATGACTGTACGAAGCGTATGACCTGCGGGCAATAACCATTTAGTTTTCGATAGATTGTGGATCTTGGTGTCAATCCAGAACATACCTCTACTGAAACGTAGAGAGAGATTGGCACAACTGTGTTTAAGACTATGGCATACGAGAAGAAAACCAGCAATCCGATGACCGTCGCCCCCGTAGGTATATAATCCTTGGGTATGATGTGCTCCCATGGTAGATACCGCTGAAAGTGCTGGCCAATCAGGCCCTCCCAGATGGCACATCCAATAGCGAAGAAAGCACATATGGACACTAGGAACAGGACAATCTAAAAAGGATAATTGGTCAGTTATAGACATAAATTCCTCTAAATTGTATAGCCTTACCCCAATGATTATAAAGTTGAGCAGACGATCTACGCCAGTGCTCTTGAACTGGGTCTTTCCGGAATTCTGCATCAACTTGGTGTCTACTCCGGCAAAGACGACCACGCCATAGCACCACTGTGTGTTCCTTAGGACACAGCCCCTCAGCAGGATTTTCTCGTTGTCCAGAGCGAACCTCTGACTCCGCCATATCAAGGTGCCGTCGAACTTGTTCAGCAGATTGTTGGGTCTCTCGCAGAGGATCTCGCCGTTAAAGTTCCAGAGGAGATCGTGACGGTCGCCCAGCTCGATGGTCTCCGTTAGGCACTGCTTCGCCTTGAGATTCGTCTCGCCATCCAGTTCTGCCGTCTCAATGAAACACAGGCCATTGGGCTCCGAGGTGGACAACAGCAGGATGTCGGCGGCCACGAACTGATTGTTGTCCAGACGGATGACGTCGCCCACCTGAACCTCCGACCACTTGGCGTCCACCAGCTTTCCATTGCGCAGCGTCTTTGACTTGCGATTGTTAACCTGCGAGTCGGACAGATGGCGTTGCTGAAAGAAAGGATTATTGTGATTTCTCGTGTATTTAATTTTAAATTTATTTTATTTAAGGGATATTTACAATATCATCGTAGGCATCCTTGACCGCAGTAAGCGTGAGCACACCTATCAGGGGAATGGCTGTGGTCACGGGCGTAAGGGAGGAGATAGCGGGTATTAACTGCAGGACCAAAAGGCACAGGAAATAAAAGTTGGCCAGTCGTTGGAACTGCTCCAGAAGATTGAAGGGTAAAAATGTGAATAGCGAATACTTTGAGGTCTTGATGTAATTATTCTGTAAATATGATTTCTTCAATTAATCGTTTTTAATTAAATATCGATACCAGGATTCTTACGTGATATTTGAACTGCGCATTAAATTCTTTGTCATTGGCGCGGATTCTGCGTTCGTTTTCTGTGAATTACAAATAGGTACATTATTAAATATTGTCGACATTTTGTTAAGTGTTTTGATTTTACATAGATTTGTTTGAATTAAATTTAAGCTTAAATAGTATTAGGTAACTAGTTATTACACCTTAATTTTTAATACAATTTTAGTTTTCAATTAACAACAAAGTTTGGGTTTATTACCCGAAAAGTAGTACGAGCTGCGGCGTCTTCTAATCTGGGAAAGCCGACGCAGACTGCGTGTCGACTTCGTTTCCGAGGCCACCGAGGAATCCCTTTGCTTGTAATGCTCCTGGTCATCGGATCTACTAACTGATGGATTAGGTGCTCCCTGGGCCAGGCTATAGAAGCTGTCGCCCATCATCAGGGGCGTGGCGATGGTCTGCGTGGAGCTGCCAATGTTCATGCCTTCCGGTTGAGCGAGGCATGCCCTCCGATGGCTTTCTTTGTCGGAGGTCCTTCGCCCTTGCTCTTCCAGGTCCTGCTCTTCCTCCTCTTCCTCACAGTGCAGACGTTTCCTTCGATTCTTCGAGGACCTGGCAAACTGGAACCACCGGGTCCTTCTGCTGGCCGTCCCGGCGGCTGGAGCTACTGGAGACACTGTTTCGGCCTCATCTTTTATAATCGGTCCCCCTGATGGGATTCGATCATCATCCTCCTGTCGCTCTGTCTCCACGGGAGACTGGCCATCCAGCACGGCCAGTTCCAGGGTGTCGGGACGCTGGCGTAGCCGACGGGCGGCCTCGCTGCATCTCCTGCCCCCAATCATGACCAGCTCAGGCTGTGGCTGCAACAAACCCGATATCTGGTCTCCACATTACCCTTCATTCTGTGCAGGAAAAGCGAAAGTTTAACATGTTGCCCTGTCCCGGGAGATTAAAATGCAATTGAAAACCCATCGGCACCGAGCAAACTTTGTCGGGGCTGTTGGCCCCCCCACGAAACTGCGCCATCCATCATTTTGATAGACTGCCGCCCCCTGCACTTCCCTCCATCCGCTCTGAAGGCCCCTCGACAGCTGGGAACGATTCTCATCAAACTGAAAATGTTTGCACGCATTCGTCTGGGCAATAAATAAATAAATTTTCTGCTTTGATTTCAGATACCCAGGGGAACTACGCTTTCGGGGGTAAGATGAGTACTTGTTGAGGTAAGTTAAAACACACACTAAGGTTGCTTTGTTCTTTGGATTATTCATTATTCATTAGTCAGAACCATTCCACATTCAAAACAATTAAAACCCCATTTAAAAAGGGGTTTGTCAAAAGAACAGCGACTTTAAGAAGACATCTGCTTCTAAATTTACTGAAATTGTTAATCATTTTCGAAGCGAAGTCATTTAAATTCAATAAACATAGGAAGAGTTGTACATATATCTTGGTAAATTAAATTTAAATCGATTTCAATTCCACATTGATCGATTGATAGGTAAATTTGGAAAAGGTTTACATTTATTTATATGTATATGCTCAAAATAATTAGTTGTAATGTTCCCCTTATCAAGGGGTAAACATTAGTTTTAACACTTTTAAAGAAATCTAAAAAGTTTACTTTGTCCCGGCAAGCGTATAGTGTTCCATGTTTACATTTATGCTCTTCGCTCCTTTGACTAAATCTGCAGTAAGCACCTAGTTCTAATGGCTCTGAGCTGCTGCTGCTGTCGCCTTTGTGCAAACATTCCGCCCTCAACAGGTGTTTTTGCCACCGCCAAAGGCCAAAGCCACACAAAGGCAACAATAGCAACGGAAGCTGCAAGCTAAGTTCATTTCTCTCTCCCCCTCTTCACACACACTCTCTCTATTTGCTCCCCCACAATGCGGGTGTGGGTGTGTGTGTAGGCAGAGTCAATGTCAAAACTGTTGTCAAGGCCACGGCGGCTGCATGGGAGGCATAACGGTAAAACAGGAAAACGGAGAGAAACTGAAACTGAAATTGAGGCGAAAAGTTGAGATGAAACTTTTTGCCTGTTGGGAAAACAATAAAGGGAATCGGCAAAACTTTGGATCCCATATCCGCCGCCTGATTTCGATTCACACACAAATGTATTTTTTGTGATTCAAGGACTCGTGCAGTCACAGCTGATTGCCACGCTCTCTCTTGTAAGTTCGCTCTCTCCGTTTGCGTACGTTGCGTCCTTCTCTTAGACAACAACAAAGCCGGCTAAGCTCTCTCTCTTCCTGGCTTTGCCCCGCTCCACCTTACGGTGTCCTGCGGCGAACGTGAGTCATGCATGTGAATGTAAATATGCTCCTTGCTCTCAATTGGTTTCAGTTTGTCAAGTTGTTTTTGCCTTTGGCTTTGCTTCTGCGTTTCCTTTTCACCCTACTGGCATGCGTCACCTTCGGTGGGGCGGCGGCAGCCAAGGGGGCGGCGCAAGAAACAATTAACTACAAGAAAAGGCCAAAAGAATCGATGAAGGCTCAATAATTATGCTGAGAATGCAGAAAAGACGACGCGGAAGCCCAGGGGGCTCTGGGGGGTACATGTTTCAGTGCCAGGTGCCAAATGCATCATCATCTGCACTCTCTCCCCCTCCTCCTCCTTGACTCTCCCCTGCTGCATCTTATTTTCCTTCTCGCCCAGTTTCGTACATTTTTAGCACATTTCTTGCACTTATTTTGCACTGTTTGCGTGTTGCTGTTGTTGCCGTTTTTGCTGCACTTTTCACAATAATTTTCCTTAGAACTTTTCTCGGAAACGCGGAAACACTTTTCGCAACTGCAACTCGAGAGTTTTTCGCGGAGCACGGATTTTATTTGGCCCAAGGCGACGCAGCGCGATAAACAAAACAGCTAACAGCAAAACGGCTAGCGCCAAAGCCAAACAGCCAACTGCCGAGGAAATTACGGCCAAAATGAGCGACGCCGCTGCTACTGCGGCAGCGGCAGCAACTGCGGCCGAGGCAGCAAAGGCGAGAGCGTGCGGCGAGCAAACTACAAGCGGCGGCAGTGACGCCGACGCAGGGCGATGATGACAACAAAACGCCGACCGCGCTGCCAAGGCAACCGGGCGCGCCATTCCATTAGCTTGGCAACAAACAACACTTAAATATTGAGAGAAAGAGAGAAGAGAAGAAAGCTACGCTCAGAAGAGAGCGGCTCGTATTGGAAAAGCTTTGAGCTCCAAAGGTTAAAGAGGAAATTATCACAGTAAAGTCTCTGATCTCTGGGGTCAAAGCTCAACGGGTGATAAACATTCATTGTGACGAGAAAAGCTGTCTTAACTTATTTATCTATGAGATATTTTCCTTTTAAAACTGTAGTTTTTTTTAATAAAATCGAATAGTTCCAACTGATATTAGTAAATGTGACCCTAAAAACTTAACTTTATTCCCATTTTCGAGTTATACTATGTGTCTACTGTTCAATGGTTTATTACTTATAAATTTAATGTATATTTTAACGAAATTATATTTCAAAAATAGTTTCTCAAAAGAATCTTAGAGATACATAATATCTGGCTTATTATTATTATAAAATCATATTTGATGATGATCTTTGAAAAAATCTTAAAATGGGACACTATTTCTTTTTGATCTGTGATTGTTGTCTGAGGTTGAATTGCAACTCAGTTTAAAAGTCAATCAGCTCAATTATGGTACCTACAAGATTTTCAACCTCATATATCAAGCCATACACTCAAAACTTTCTTTTATAAATGTTAATCTAATTTATAAGGATTTAATTTATAGTTGTTATTGATTGGTAGAGTACTTCCCTATTCGAATTGCCCCAAAAATCGTTGGCGCAATTTTCCCAAGTTTGTCAAGCATAAAAATGAGCAAATTTTCTTAAGTCACCCCAAAAGAAGAAAAAGAAATGAAAATAAAGGAAAGGAAAGAGAACGGCGAAAAATACTCTCTCCATTTCAATCCGTCTCAGTCCCTCTACCGCTGGCCAGTACAGTGCACGTGAATCAAACAAAGGGGAGCAAGCGAGCGAGGGAGAGCTGCCCCCTTGAGTCCGCTCTTTCCATTCAAATGAGCAGCAATGTCAATGTCAGAGCGGGAAAAATTGTATTTATTTTGGTTGGCGCTCGAAGAGGTGGCACATATGGGTTAATGAATGATTGCTCGCCGGGGCTGTGAGGGGGTTGGGTGGGGTAATCACACCCCGTACACATTGATTTCATTTTCTCCTTTGTGCCGGGAAACAAATATGGCGTTTCTGTCGGGATAGATCATGGATAAATCTATTTTGTGGTTTCTGCGGCTACAATGGAATTTGCATACCCGAAATTCCTTTGAAGATCTCAACAGGTGTGCATATAGTATACACATAAATCCGACCGACAAAATGGTAATTAATGTAAGTGCTCCATAAAAAAAGAACAAAAAATAGTACATCGAAAATCATGGTCCAATAATGAGCGCATAAAGGAAATAATTTCATTAACTTGAAGCACATTGTTACTACTTGCGTTTTCTTTGTTTAGGTTCTTCAAAACCCCAAACTACAGTAGAGTATCTTCAGCTTGAACAATTTCTTAAAACACATCGACATAGCTCATGAAAAGGTCCTTAATTATTAAAATACTATTTACTACTTTTTAAAAGTAATTACTTTGCATTTTGGAGAAAAGAGAATAAATAGTTACTGCTATAGTTCTATCTTTAAGTAGTTACTAATAAGGATTATTGTCAAATCAAGAACGCCTTGCCACAGTTGGGACTCTAATATAAGTGCAGTTGTGTATTTCATCACTTGTTTTGTTTATGGAAGTTCTACTGTAACCCAGTGGCACTCATTCACACTCATACACCCAAATGGGCACAATTCGCATTCATTCACTTCATTCATTGAGCGGTCGAAACGAGGCGCGTAATAAATCGAAGTGCCGCTCTTTTGGCCAAGCTCAAGGCACACCACGCACACACAAAGTAAGACACCCCCGCTCACACGCACACACAGGCACTCTTGGCCAAGTGGTTAACGGTACCTTTGTGGAATAGTGTCAGGGCCAAAACCGAGCAGCGGGCGGCTTTTTGTTAAAGTTTCTCGTCGCTTTTGGCTGCAATTGGTTTAGCAACGCCACAGAACTGGGTCACTATCTGCCCGAAATCGGTAACAACTGTTCAACTTTTTGCCACCCCAAAATCGACGGGCAAAAACGGATGGGTATTTTCCTTCAATCTGAAATGTCAGAGGCTTTCAGTGAAATCAATTTGCAACCGTGGATCGGATTTACGTTGGGCAACCATACACTGTTGCGCTAAATCTGTGCACTAGGGATCAAAGTCAGTGGTAACGCGTCAATCCCTTCAAACCGAGAATCAAATCTAACAGAAAGAAAGACTCTTGATTACATGAACTGAGATTGAATTTATACTCATGAATTTCCAAGAATTTAAAACTGAATTCGAAAGTGCGGGCAAATATGATTTAAAGTTACATTCGTTTCATTTTATTCACTGATTTATGCAATAAAATAAAATGTATGAATACATTTTGAGAACTGTTCGTGGTACTAAAATGAAAAGTTTATAATAAAATTTACTGAGTAGCCGTTGAGTAAGCAATCAAATCAAATTGACAAAAATTAAAAAAAAAAAAAAAAACTACAAAATGTGGAACTCGTGGGCAACCCTGGGATCTTTGGTGGTGCCTTGTTCAACAATGGAGTTACCTGGTCTCCCACAACCCCTAGATGATGATAATCCTTCTCCTGCCAAGCAGCAGAAAATGTCAAAATCTGTGGAGGATTTCTCTTTGCCCCCGGACATGGGAAGGGCATATGCAGCAGAGGCTGGTGAGTCTAGGAAATTGGCAACGATGTCGCTCTGTTATTTATCCAATCATCGCAGCCCGCTTGCAGGCAATGCAAACGAAAATCCAGCCCTATCAACCTGCGGTGCGCCATTTGCCGGGCCAGTGTCCACCGGAGCCGGAGAACGAACGCCGGATGTACGTTCCAAGCTTGAGTCAGTCGCTGACACGCCGTGACATCTTCACCTACTTCTGCGCCTATGGGGATCTGGAGCGGGTTTGTGTGAAGAATAGCGTGGATTCGCTCAACTACGCCATAGTGATCTTCTGCCGAACCACATCCTTGCACTTGGCCATCGCAGCCAATCCGCATTCGATCAAGGGCTATCGCTTGCTTTGCCGGAAGGCCGCCGTAAAGAGTCCCGGCATGGCTACACGGCAGACGGTACGAACAGTTCGGGGGGACAATCCTATACATCCGACTTTAGAAAAAGTGCTCATGAAACAGCCAGGGAAATCGAATTTAGACGATCCAAAAAAGACCTTAAGAGCCACGCCATCGAGGCTGGGGGATTTGAGTACAAAACTAAAACAGAAGCAACTGGCATCGACAAAGTCGGTTGTTTCCCAAAAGGGCGAACAAACCTTTGTGTATGCGGCTGTGGCAGAACGCTCTTCCCGATGGAACTTTAACCTGGCTAGAAGTTACACCACCCTAGAAGAAAAGGAGGCTTTGAAGGAGGGACATCCAAGTGCTGCCAAAAAACTGCTGGAAGCGCGGTCTCGAAAGAGTCAGACTACCTCGACTAGGCCCATTCATTTTAAGAAGCCCACAACTCCTGTGAAAACTCAAGAACATCGAAATTATCCTTCGATTCCAGAATCTATTCAAAACAGTCCAAGTGTTTCTGCTTTACAAACTCCGTCCAGTTCTCGTCAGCCGATTTTATCTTCTCAGGAGGATGGCGTTTCAATTTTAGAACCTGATCCTGTTCCTGAACGTACTCCTGAACCGATTGGTTCTATACCCAATGGAAACGCTGTTCCTATCTTGCCACCTCCACTTAATCTAGAATTTCCTATGCCAAATCCCAAGAATCTAATAGGGATCTCTGAAAACTCCTATTTCGGCCCGGACTTTAGGTACGAGCATCACTGCTATACCAATGTTGTTGCCTATCAAAAGACCAAGTTATATATCGATTTAGAGCCTGGCGAATGGACAAAGCGCAAAACCATTAAGGAATTCATTGATGAAAAATATGGGCAGGATAATAAAAGAATTTAATCATTTTAAATCCGTTAAACTATTAATCTTAGTTATTATATTTTAAAGACTTTTGCGTATTGTTCACTTAATCAATAAAAAACTTAATCAATAAAAAACTTATTGTAATCCAGCATCAAACCTAAGTATGTCCGATTTTACTAATTTGTATGTGAACACTCACCTTTGGCCAATTGTGGTTGTGTTTTTGTGCCCATTATGAGGGAGCCGCGCGGGACGTGTGTCCTTGGCTGGTGTCCGTCTATCTAATCTGATGTGGCCAGCTGCTCTCATGCGCCTGCCGGCATCCGAGGCTGCTCCTCCGGTTCTCCGGTTCCAGCTCCAACTGCGACTGCGACTGCGGGTGCGGTCCGTGGACTAGTGAGCGGACTGAGCGGACGCCAACCTGCTCCATGTGGCGGCCTTGTCAAGCCGCCGATGGCTGTCGGAGGAAGAGAAGATATAGGGGATATGGGGATTCAGTAAGCATTCAAATGACTCGTTATCGCCGGGGGAAAAGTTTCGTATTTTCTAGATTTCTCTGTTGAATTTTTAATAGTGTTCGTAAAGCTTTTTAAATGCTGCCAGCTGGTGGCCCAGAAGGACATACTGGACACACATTGGATGTGGGAAAGGATTGTGTGGCGCCCAGCTGGAGGGAAAGTTTCCAAAGCAAATAAACTTGGGCTTGGTCTTGTGGTCTTGACTCGACTATTAAAAATTTGATGCGTTCACATGCTAATTGTCACACGAGGGGTGAGCCGATTGGCGGTGGCATGGGTGTGTATATGGCTGTGTCCATTAGCAGCTGACACGGCTGGTGTAATAGTTATTAAACGCAAATACGCCCCCAAGGATGTTGGCCTTGAAAGTTTGAGCAGCCTGCAAGGACTGCAACAGGGTGTATACGTAATACATGCCTCAGTGGTCGGAGTTTCCGTGTAACATTTCATAATCCATTTGCAACCGGATGCTCGGGAAGCAAGGCGCAGTAATGATCGAAAATTAATAAAAGCAATTACAATGGCGAGCAAACAGAAGAGAGGCAAATAAATACAAAGCAACGATTTGCCTAATGTGAGTCACCCGGGAATGGGGCAGAGTCGGAGTCCCACTCGCTCGTAAACAAAGCTGAAAATGAAGCACAAAAGCCAGATGAAAAAGTTGCGAGTGCTTATGTACCCGGCGGAAAGTCAAGTTACTTTAGAATCACAACGAATTGTGAATGCTCTGACAAGCAAATAAGGCATAAAAGCACTGAAGGCTTTTGTTTGTTTCTATTTAATTACATTAATTTAGTACGTATTTTTTCCTTTAAGCTTTGTAAGAGATAAACAAAATATAAACGATGACATCTCAGTTAAGTCGGAATATAGGTTAGACTTTTATATTTAATATACCGACTAATTACATTTGTTAGAAAGCCATAATCATCAATTTAATGACTTAAAATCTTACACGATCCCAGATATACCCTACTGCCATAGCTTAACCGTATGCTAATTGCGAATAATAAGAGCCCATTCATGAATAATAAACAAACGAGCGATTTGTGTGCCGATCGCCGGTCTCTATAGGTCATTCCATTGGGGAGACTTTGTTGATCGTTTGTGACTAAACCGAAATGTTTATAGGTATAAGCGTAAATGTGACTTCAAGTATTTTGCAGCTGGTCAAGTCTGTATGGGCTGTTAATTACAACAAAAAAATCGTAAGGCGATATTAGCCGGTACATTGAAAATATGCCTCATCAATTGTCCCCATTATTTAGGTTTTCAAGGCTGCATTTTAGCTTTTCGCTAATAGCTTCACTCCGTTTTCCGTTCTTTAGGCCTCAAACATTATGTGATTATAATCAACGACCAAGTCTGCAAGCCCACGGAAACGTAAACGAAATATGCCCCAAACTCTCTCTCTGAAAACCGTTAGAAACGCTCAAAATAGACCAAAACTACCTTGTAATATAGAGCCATCATTGACCGAGCACTCACAGAAGTCATTACGGATGAACGATACATGAATTATGCATAATTATATTCACCTATACCATTTCCGATTATACTTGATGTTCTTCATTTCCATCGGCTATGTAATATTATATGTTATCTATTTATGGGCCATTAAATCTATTTTAAATAAAAAAAGGGGATAGTCACACGCCAGAAAATTATAAGCTAATGAACCTTGAGCTACTTAACGGCCAAAAGAATTAGGGGGTTGAGCATGGGCCTAAATCAGTTGAGGGTCAAAGGATAAATAATTCTAAATGGAAAAAAGGGAAAATGAGATACTCGGGGTTAAGACCTTGGGCAACATATAATATGAATAACAACCCTGAAGGAAATCATTGAATATTTCAATATTTCTGTCTATAGAATATTTGTATATTAATTTGATAATTATAACCACCAACATAAATCTTTGAATAAAGAAAAGCGATTTGTGCATTTCACACTTGTCAGTTAACAATTTGCTATCAAATATCTAACAACTAAAATTCAAATCCATCATACCAGAATAATTAATAAGACAGGCAGAGCGAGATAAGCTCATTTCATGGAAATATATGGAAATATAAGCAAACATCTACAAGTAAAATACTGCTCGAAGAGAACGCTCTCATTGTGCGACGGCAGATACGAATCGCTCGAGACACTTGGCCAGTCATCGAGCAACGGCGACTGGAAGGCAATCAATGCAATTGAATGTTGGAGCATCAATTTCAATTGATTTGGCGCAATTAGAGCACGAGCAGTAGGAACTATAAAGGGATTGGCAGGGCGGGCGCCACACCCACGTGCAAATTAAATAGAAACTGGGTTCAGGTTCAGATTCAGGGACGGCGAGTCCCAGGCGGGGTGGAAACGGGGGCCAAACGGCGCTTGGGTCCCTCCATAAAAGTCGCATAAATTATTTAGCCTGCATTCATACTCTCTAAATGCCACGACCGTTGAGGAAGCGAGCGCTTCTGAATGGAAATGTGCAACCAAGGTCAATGCTTTCCACATGGTCCCATCGCCTCCCATTTTCACAACTCTCGATTATTTTTTTCACGACGGGAATATCCATTACCGTTGCTCCTCGTGAAAAACAAATCCCTGTCCAGGGGGCGGGGCTAATTAGAAGTTCAGAATTCTTAAGTTGCGTGGAAATTTCAACAAGCGACTAATCGGATGACTTTTACAAGTTAACAAGTTTGTTTTTGCAAACATTGTACACTTTTTTGTTTGCCTTGCGGTGATTTAACTTACAGTTTTCCCTTATTTATAATTAGGCTTAAGGTTTTTTAAGTGATGAATATGAGAAATCAGAAAAAGTGCCGAGAGATTGAGAAGTATAATAGTTTGTGATAGCTTTGTGATAACTTTTATACACAATGTATACTTAGTTTATCTAGTTTATTGGTTATATTAATAAATAATAACCCTTCTAATAGTCAGATGGATTTTCAAATGCTCATCTTCTGCTTTAAGAAGTGCCTTATTGTATAATTTTATCAACCTGTCAACTTTAGAAGTCCATTTAGGTGTCATGGGGGACATCTCAAGTTGAGCCACAATCCCATATATAGTACATGCCGTCAACTCTAGATTGACAATCAATAATTTAGCCGTCTTCGTGGCCGACCATCTTGGACGGTGCTCTGCGAAACGACTCATCGTAGATAATTACCATGCAGTGGCCACTAATCCTGGGAAGCGTGGGAGTGCGTGCTCTGTGTGCTGCATTAAAAATTGATGGGATACTGGAAAACCAGGGCTTGGCGACACGTGGCCCCTGTAGAGAAGCCCCAGGCCAGGTGTGGGAAACAAGCAGGTCGTCCTTTGGAGCTCTCGAATCGTCCCCAGACTTGTTGAGCCTGGCACCGCAGCCAGGCAGGCCTGGGGCCCATGTGGGAACATCTGTCCGTCGATAACTCGGTTCCATTGTGCGGCGGATCAGTCTGTTTGTCACTTTGCTCGGGAATTTGGGTTAAAACAGTTACTCTCCAGGTGGGCTGTGCGTGTGCCGGCAATTGCGTGTTGGGAACACCTAACCCAGCTCCTCCACTTCGCCCGATTCCCCAGGTAGATAGCGAAATTATGTATCCAATACGAGCGGAAGGGCGATGGAGGGCGTCTATGACAATCGCTTAAAGTCAAATTGCCGCCAGGAATGCAAACTGAAATGCGGGCTGAGGCTGGTGTTTTATATAGATAGTTAAAGTGAGCGATGTGATAAAGTCAACGAAGAAACTAATATAGATATTCTTAGGCCGATGAATAATATGGAAGTCGACTTTAACTATACTAAAATGTAGATAAGTAATGCTTTAAGTCTATATACTGTGCTTTTATGTTTTTATTATAATTATATTCTTCTAAAGTCTTTAGTCTAGAGTTTATCTTTTATGACTGATGATTCATCAGATTGCAAAAGAGCAGAGTACAGAGTTAAAAGCATCCATTTCCTGTTTTTGTGGAAAATCCAAAATGACTTACACTTTCGTATATGATTATTTTTGTTGATTGTTGACACCCTTGTAAAGACAAACAACTAGTTAAAATCAACTAGTTAAAGTCAATTTTAAAGTCTAGGTAGTTCTGATAACTCTTACAATCACTTTATTTCAATCTAAAAAGTCTTAACATAAAGTAAACTTATTTGATATAAGTCTAGCAGATATATTCTAGCTCACACTAACTGGAATTTAAAACAATACATTACTGATTATAAACGTTATTATTCCTTTAACCAGACCAGACCGCATTCGTCACGGAGACCTTGTCCGGCTAATTTGCGGCAATGTGAATGGGACGCCATGTCCACGGGGCGTATGGGTATTACCTTTGGCCCTATATCTCTTCTCCTATCTCTTACTTTCGCTCTCGCCAGCTCTCTCACTTTCTCCCTTTCTCTGCTCTTGGCCAATTTTCTATCGCTGTTTGGCCTTTCGGGGGACCTACATCAAAGGCAGTGGATTTGAGGTAAATCAATTCACTGACCAACAATATCCCCGAGAGTATTTGCCCCATACGTCGATATATATTTATATATATGCTCTTTGTGTACATATCGGAATATGGCGACTATAATTTGGTGTGGCATATGGTGCACAGTGGGCCGAGCCTCGTGCAAA